GTTTTGTTTGTAAGAAATAAAAAATAAGGGTCAAGGGATTGATGCATGTATACTATATTACTGAAGTTTTTGTCTTTGAACAAATATGTTCTGCTGAGTGTCAAAATACAGTGTTTTGGAGCTCCTTTTATCCGATTGTGGTTTCTGTACAGTTTTCTCCACTGCCACAAGTAATCTTCAAATTGATCATTGCAGCTGGTACTATTGGGTGATTCTGGTGTTGGAAAAAGTTGCATTGTTCTACGTTTTGTTCGTGGTCAATTTGATCCAACATCAAAGGTAAAATTATCTGGTGATGGATGCCTCTCCAAACATTCCTTTTTCTCTCTTTTTGGGTATGGTATAGTACTATAGTGCTTTATTTAATAAATTAGCCCCTCTTTGGCTCTATTTTGGGGTTTGGAATTGCTTGTTTGGTTAGGTGGTTTTGGAGGGGAGAATTGATTTTTAGTTTACAAACTTATCTCTGTTTGTTATATTTAGAATTAGACTACAAAATGACTACTACCTCCATCTTAGTAACATTGGGATATGAGAAGGTGGTGCGGTTAATTAAAAAAGTGAGTTGGTGTGGTTGATATTGAATTGATAAAGTAAGAATAACGTAAGAATGATTAAGAACCACACAAACTTTGTCAAATTTGATATGAGACCATCTTAGTGGGACAGATGGAAAAGGAAATATGTGACAATCTTAGCAGGACGGAGGGAGTATATGTTTTACTTAATTCGATTATTTGTATTCACTCCATATAATTTTTTGTCTTCAGTTTCTTCCAACACATCTAAATGTAAGAATAAATTATTACGTAGTAATAAATTAAGGGAAAATTCTCGAAATAAGAGTAAAAACAATGTAAAATTGCAAAACAAGAGTACCATATTTTCTCCTGAATAGGAGTAACATACTACTATCCTGAAACTTTGTTTCCATATTTTGGCATTACAAGGCTTTAATATCGCAGTACTAATGCCATAGTTGACATTATTTTCTGAGCTTGGCAGTTATTTAGGGAATAAAAACACAGTGCTCCTGTTTTGGAATTCCACGTTGTTTTTGCTTCTATTTAGGGCAATTTCTTTAAAATAAATAATTAAATATTACCATAGAAAAATACCTGCCAGCCAAATAGGGCTAGGTGATTTATGTCGTTTCCCATCTAAAGTTTAAATAATAAGGAAACATAAGTAATACGTTTGTAAACAATCTTATTTTGATGGTTTTTAGGTTACTATTGGGGCTTCCTTCCTGTCTCAGACAATAGCCCTACAGGATTCAACAACAGTTAAGTTTGAGATTTGGGATACTGCCGGTCAAGAGAGGTACCGTATGGCCTTTAATCTCTCTAAGGACCAGTTTTCTCTCTCTCAAGAGAAAGTAGACACTTTTTGTAATTTTGGACATGGAGTACTTGTAAGAGCATGCTTTGTTTTTAGGTATGCAGCATTAGCACCACTTTACTACAGGGGTGCTGCTGTTGCTGTTGTTGCATATGATATTACCAATCCTGACTCATTCAGTAAAGCAAAATATTGGATCAAGGTACAACTCTAAGATTATTGTGCCTACTAATTTTTCTATTTAGTTTTACATAAATAATGTTGTGAAGGTTTCTCATATGAAAGTTGTCAAAAGTAAAAAGTAGTGTTAGACAGCAGCAACTCAGATTAGCTTTCTCCAAATTTTGAAGTGGAAATAAATTATGGAAACAGTTTTTAAAGTTCAAAAGCATTTTTAGAAGTCCAAAAGGTGAAGATAATAACATTGATGAAGAAGACTGGAAGAATATAAAAATTCATGAAATGATATGAACTATTTGAAATATACTTATCATTTTGAGGAAAATCTATATATGCAATAGTAAAAAGTAATCATAAGCCTTGATAAATGTAGGAATTACAGAAGCACGGAAGCCCAAATATAATCATGGCTCTCGTGGGTAACAAAGCTGACCTCAAAGATAAACGAGAAGTATCTGAACAAGTAAGAAAAATGGTCCATTATTGTATTCTTAAAGTTACTGATTAGTTACCAACACTGAATTTCTTGTCTGCATGAAGAGTGCAAAAGAGTACGCTGAAATGAATAACATGTTCTTCATTGAAACTTCTGCTAAAACAGCAGATAATATAAACCAGTTGTTTGAGGTATGTTCCTTCGCAACCCGCTAAAACTCTTGCATTCCTTTTAACAATGTGAACTGATGCCTGATTTCTGGGTAATTTTATGTAACAGGAGATTGCAACGAGGTTGCCACGCCCTTCTGTCTCTTGATTGTCAAGCACTTGAAAGGCAACAGTTTGCTATAGATAGAGATGTCTGTACTATTATGTAAATAAAAGAGTCCCAGCATCTTCATACATGTGAGATTAATTTCTACTGTGCCGAGGTGTAGGCACCACTAATCTACTATAGTTTGGAATATTCTGATGGAGGCGTACTGAAATGCCCATTTATGTGTTTTCTAAATATCTCGTGTATTTTGGAGGTAGTATTTTAAATGTCTAATTGCTTTCAACAAATCATATGTTGATTTGTGATAAAAATCCAAATACGTCTTAATGATATAATTATGTTCGATTAGTAATTTCAATTTGGCCATAGTAGTTCTAAATGTTTGGGATTTCATACAAAAGTCGTCAACCTATAAAAAATTTCCCGTGATAATTCACTTGTTCACCGATGTACCATTCTTTACGCGATTGGATGCATTATGGTATTATTCGACGTAAATGTATTGGTTATGTAAAATTGCCATGTAAATTATCCTGAAAGTATCATTGTGTTCTACAAAACGTGACATCATTGCTATGTACTCCCTCTGTCCCGTAAAGATGTTCACGGTTTGACCTACACACATATTTAGAAAATAAATTTAACTTTACTGTTTAGACACTGTTTGGCACTGTTTAGACATTGTTTGGCACTGTTTTGCATTGTTTGACACTGTTTTGATGTAGGATAACTTTCCGTTTAGGGAAATGAGAACTTCTTTTTGGGACATCCAAAAAAGGAAAGCGGGAACATCTTTGCGGGACGGAGGGAGTATATTAGTCTTACACTGCTATGTCATAGCGTCATGTCTTTTCTTTGTAGGAACATTCTTCTAATCATATTATAGTATCTGTATATGTTAATGTCAACATCCTTTATTGAGATATGATTCCAACATGTGACCTAGTGGTGGACTCGGGCCGGGTGGCCCGACCTGAGGGGTTTCCGGACCGGGCTCGGGTCACCCAAAACATGAACCGGCCCGGCCAGTCCGGGCCCAGTTCCGGGCTTTTTTTTTCAACTTTTTTTTAAATCCACGGGTTGGGCTGGGTATTTTGGGCCATTTGGGGTAGTTTGGGGGGTTGTGGTTAGGGGGGAGTCGAGGGGGTAATTAGAAAAAGGAAAAAAAATGTAAGAGACCCGAGGCTCGGCCCGGCCCGGACCGGACCCGGTGGCTACCCGGGCCGGTCCCGGGCCCAACAAATTTTAACCAGCGGCCCGGTCGGGCCTAGGCCCGGCTCGAGCCCGAATCCACCACTAATGTGACCTCTTTGAGAGATGAGCAGTGATGTCATCTGACCATAAAATACTTGCAGCGTTGTGTCTTATACTATGCTATGTTACATCATAACATAGTGTAGGTGTATACATCCTTTTTATTCTTTTACCTCGGAGGCCAGGGGAGGGGGTCTTGGAGTAAATATGGTTGAAAACTTGAAATTGCTTTTATGGTGTTTCGAACCAAAGATCTCTCATATAGGAAAGTGAGTCGCGATTCACCTTCGTCAATATATTTCCACTTCTCTATGTAGTAGATCTAAGTACTTCAAGACTCATTAATAATTACTTACTCCGTCCTAATATTGTCTCATCTTTCATTTCTGACTCGTTCCACTAGGACTGTCTCATACCACATTTGGTAAATTTTGTGTGATTTTAAATCATTCTTTTTTTTTAATATCAATTTAATATCAACATCTTCATGTCCTAATGTGAGTGGTATGAAGATAGTATTTTCCATCAATTCCCCCTTAGACCCATTTGGCTTTCACTAACACGGCAAAAACACATGGTATGTCATTCCTAACCGCTTCAAAAGGAATGAGTTTGATATCAATCCTAGATTCCTAGATGCAATCTAAACACAAATGTGTTGAATTTTCTCAGTTTTTTTTTCTATACCATAGGTCCATAGGTAGGGACGGATCCACTTTTGAAACAAAAGCGGATCTAAGAATCCACAACTAGGCGTGGACTCGGGCCGGTTCGGGCCCGGGCCGACGGTTTAGGAATGGGGGGCCCGGAACCGGCCCAGGTACTCCCCGGGTCCGGGCCGGGCCTTAGTTATTTTTTTTCCTTTTCCTAGTTAACCTCAAACCACCCCAAATGGCCCAAAATACCCAGCCCAACCCGAAAACAAAAAAAATTGAAAAAAAAAATTAAAACGAAACGGAACCGGGCCCGAACGGGCCGGGCCGGTTCCTGATTTAGGGGGCCCGAGCCCGGACCGGAACCCCAGCGGGTCGGGCCAAGCCACCGGGCCGGGCCGGGCCAGAACAGTGCCGGTTCCGGGTCGGGGCACCCGGCCCGAGTCCACCCCTATCCCCAACAGGCACCATTTTTACAATTTGTGACCAAAACCAGTCCAGGTTCCTCCAAAATACAACCGAATCGACATGTCTGACATGTCTGCTTCCCACAGTTTGTGACCAAAACCAATTTACCATTTTAATCCTCCTTTACCTTACCCATAAATGGCAAGTCCAGAACCGGAAGGTCCAGAAAGTGTCCAAGACTAATTTCCAGAATGAGTGTTAGACTAGTTCCAAATGATATTTGTGCCTGACCTAAGCTGTGGACCTGTCATATACACTTCGGTTGACCCAAGCTCTTGCTTGGATTTAGGTCCAGTTCTCTTAAACATCTGTCAAAGTACAAGTGTACAACTGCTTTATATCTCATTTCAAACTTAATCAATTATTGAAAGATCACAAATCTACACATTCCTTAGTGTTCAATTTATCAGTAGTGTCTGTTGGCATTTACTATCGTATAAAGCAGTTTTTTGCCAAATAGGTTGTAGGAACAGCAAATCTTATTTCAAGTGAGAACCCTAAGGGGAAAAAACCGTCCATTTTATCACCTTTACTTTAGCCAACCAAACCCACACGAAAGACAATCATGATTTCAAGAAAACAGAAAACAATCCCACCAAAAAGCAAATAAAATAAATATATAAATACAAGAAAAAAGAGAGAAAAAGCCTTGCTTTGCAGCCTCTTCTTATATTGTTTTCTGGATCAAGATCTTTAGAAGTCAACCTAATTTCTCCACGAACGTTTCTGTCAGTGTGTGCCCATTGATAATTTTTGTAGTCAACACAATCAAATCATATGACATCCCCTCCTGCACATTCATCAAGCCATTTTAGGTAAAGATAGTGGGGAAAAAACCAATAAGATAATTGGATAGAAAGAAAAATTGTAGCAAAATAAATGGTAGACCCATCCTATAGAAACAAAAACATCCAAGTCTTAGTCTCAAAAGATTTTGGGGGCATCTAACACCCATTCTATAGAATGACTAAGATATTTAAATTTTATTTAAAAAGAATTGCTGTACGTTTTCCTTAATATGTCATATTTGATCAATCTAGAATAGCATACATAATATTGTCTAAATAGTGCGTTTGACCCGAGTCAGACGAGCGCTTTTTTGCGCCTTGCGCCTCAGGCGATACAAGTACTCTAGCGCCTTAAGTGTGCCTCGCGACTTTGACTACAATGACTACATAGAAATTTTAATGCAATCTTCCATTTCATCCGCCTTTTCTGATTCTATGAGATAGATCTTTATCTAGTTCACCGTCCTGAATTAAGGAGCCCATGTAACAGAACACTAACCAATATCCCCTTACCATCTAAAATAATCTCATTGTTACCATTATTTCTTACATACACTAAACTTGCACTCCATATACCCAATCTCTTCCATTTCATCTGCCTTTTCTGATTCTATGAGATACATCTCTATCTAGTTCATTGTCCTGAATTATGGAGCCCATCTAACGGAACACTAATCAATATCCCCTCACCATTTAAAGTCATCTCACTGTTATAATTATTTCTTACCTCAACTAAACTTGCACTCCATAAACCTAATCTTGCTTTGACTCAACCTAGAGCCTTTGTTCTCCTGAGTTTTCAAAGTGAACGAGTCTACTAATTATATGAACATCAATAATGATGGTCATATGTCAAGAAATGTGTTATCTTTTAGTCCTACTAAAGAACTCGCCCCTAAAATAACTAGGACTATTAAATTTGAAATGCATTAAAACTTAAAAGGTAAAGAAATCACGAGTGAATTTAGTTGATTAATGGAATAAGTAACAAAACTACCTGCGAACTCAGAAATCGAAGAGCATTAATCTCGGCAAAGGTCACCCCACCAATAAAAACAACGAGCACTAATGAGCGCCTTCCATTGACAACTCTGAAATATCAAAAGGTGTCGCAAAAATTATTACCAATAGAATGAGAACAATATCCATTACTGCACAACCATAGAAACCAAGGACCGAGAACCTGGTCTTAACTCATATGCCTCAAATAAATAAAAAAAAGTGATCAAAAGGTAATATGAGTTAAAAATGTATGAAACACTCCACAATAATCAAAATAACTAAAAACAAGAGAGGGTTTTATATGACATAGATATCATGTCACTTAAAATGATCTTTTCTTTAAGCAAGCAGTATGTTGCATTGGGTAATCATGTTCATTTCCCATGTCAAGTGTCAACTAAAATCTCTTTTCCATAAAACTAGAGCGGCTAGCTACTTTCAGTCTTTCACAATATCCAACTTTTAGATTTACTTCACATCTTTTTTTCTCCTTATAAAGTTAAAAAAAATGTTTGTGCCGATGATGAACAGCACATTGAAACACAGTTGTTGCTGTTAAAAATTAATACAAATTCATGCAACTAGATAATCCAGTAAGGATATGCCAAAAAATATGTGGCCATAGTTCAGAGTATTGCATAGGCCTTACTTGTCGGAGTTATGTAAGGACCCTGGCAGACTGTCGAAGGATGGACTGCTTGCAAACCCACTCTGTGGAGAAAGTTAATGCAAACACATTTTGGACTTTTATGTTGTATTGTGGTCACACTATCTAATAAAAATGATAAGATCCAGAACAGAGTTCTGATAACTGGATATAAAAAAACCAAACATAAATGAAAAATATGAAAGTAAAAAAAGGCTTACCCTCTTGCTGTCGGAATGTGGCCCTGGCAGCAGTCTTAATATCTCTTCAATGGGACGCCTGTAATATATATATTGCACAAAAGTACTCCGTGTATGATTAAACCAGATCTACTTCAAGGAGAATAAGTGTCTGAGTGTCTCATACACTAAAGCTGCGAGACCAAATTAATCTCCTAAGTTTCTACCCCTTTCACTACTTACCATCAATTTTAGATAAAAATCACTTGTATAGTCATATGATCTTTATGCAGATTACAATTCTTAAACCAATTACTACCCGGATTCATTCATCATCAGTTATTACAACGATTATATACAGGATAAAGTCTACGATCTCTAAGTACTTTTCAGAGAAAAAAGTTTACCATCCAGATCGGATTGCATGCTGAACCAGGCGAATGCTGAGAGGTGCGTATCCAGAAAAGACATAAGAAATATCTCTGGGGCTGCATTATGCGAACAATATTAAGGATCAGATAAAAAGGACCATGTAACTATAATAATTAAGAATCAGAAACAAATAAATATGGGAGTATATTATGAATAAAAAATATTCAAATTAAAAACAGGTTAAGATAAATACACTAATGACTCATTTAAGAATCATTTTCATCCCTTAATCTCAGCTCAAAACACTAATCATCCTATAACCCTAATTAGCAGCTGAGATAACAAACATTCTGCTCAAAAGTTTGGAAAACTTTTCTCTGCATGTTTTTCATTCAAAATATGAACACACCGGATTTCCTTTTATCTTCTAGATAAGAAGACAGAAGATGCATCAAAATTGCAATGAGGATAAATAGAAGCCATTAAAAGCTTCATAAAGTACACTTCCACAGTTGTTCAAAAGATCAATATCTTTACATAGGTTAACCTATGAAGTACTGTATGTGGCAGCATTTATTTTAATTCAGCATGTAAAGCAGCAGAATAAAATTTACAGCTAAAAGCAACAATCACTGGCTATGGATGCAAAACACATCTGAGAGCAAAAACAGCTTCTGAAGTCAGAGAGAAGAGTATCAGCAAGAGTAGACTCTTCATGGAAAAGTATACATACTTGGCAGTATCAGTATCTTCAACAACTAGCTGGAGAGCACGTTTAATAGTAATCCAGTTGCTTTTTGACTCCTAAAAGGAAGATCGCATGTCAAATTCACTATGTGATGGAACTAAGTAATATATCAAATAGAGTAGGGCAACAGACCTGCTTCCTGAAAAGTCCCGCTTTTTCTAAATTGTTCAAGGTAGCAATATGCTCAAAACCATAGCTGTGAAGAAGCTCACGCCTAAACAAAGACAAGACTCATAGATATTTGTGAACTTTTCAATGTTATCCAACAACAGAGTTAAAGAGCTATAAACTAGAGTGCGGAAAATATGTTACTAATATTCCACTTGCCTTAAGTAGTCATAACTCTTCTTTGGCAATCCAGAATTTGTTATTGAAAATAATATGAGAAGGCGTAGAACATTCAATAGAGGTTCTTGTTTATGGATCATCTCTTCAATGTACTCAAAGCATCTGTATCCACATGCAGCATTAGCTTTCACTTTATCTTCAACTAATATTAAGACGCATTTATAGAACTTGGATGTTAAATGATATAAATGAGGTCACAGGGAGGTCTCACATTGTTCATCTTACTGACACATATTCCATGTTACTAAAATGCTTCTGGTGGCAAATAAAAATGTATTTCCAAAAAAGATGAATCAACTGACAAAAAAATGTATCATGATTCAATAACTTCCATAAGAGAAGCAAAACTACATTAGAATGCAGAAAAATATATCTCCCTAAATTTTAATTGCAACACTTTGACTTTTTTGTTATGGAGCAGCAGTCAGTCCATGCAATTTTCTACGCGATTTTCACTATGGGTCATCTGGAAACAGTCTCTCTGTGCTTTAGTATAAGGGTAAGACTGCGTACATCTGATCCCCCCTTACCCCACCGTAGGTGGGAGCCTTTGCGGCACTGGGGTAATGATAATGATGTATGAACACTTTGACTTTTGCACTATTACATATCCTACTTTGATCATAATTTTTACTATTGTACAAAAATAAATCATTTTATGTAAAGTGTTGCAATTTTTCGTCTCAAAGTATCAACTTTAATTTTTTTTATTAATTCATATTTAATATACTAGTGGTTAAAGTTGTGTGTTGGCCAATGAGACAATCAAATTGTTGAACTAAGTAAGGTTGGAGATAGGTATTTTCGTTCAATATGCTTAGTCTTGATAATAAGATAAATTCTAGCTTCACAACCAATATTTTTTTTCAAACAAGTGTCATATTCAGGGCACAAGACTCCTGGTATGAGTAGAGTATGAAGAAGATCCCAATGTATGCAACATAAACCTTATTCGCATTAGGCTTCACCAAGGATTGAATGTGTAATTAAGGGAATAATAAGTACACTTAACCATCACGCCAAGCACAACATTCCAAACGATGTGCGAGCATAGTTGTAAAAAAGGAGGCCCTAGGCGACCTTACTCGGAAAGACTATGTACTTATTCACTATGGGTCATCCGGAAACAGTCGCATAGTGAATAAGTACAGAGGTGAGACTGCGTACATCTGACCCCCCTTACACCACCAAAGGTGGGAGCCTTTGTGGCACTGCGGTAATGATGATGATGAATTATAAAACTACATGCATCACTGTTTGATGTCATGAACAGATGGGGCCTGTTCCCAACCAATAACATAATGGAAGGTAAAACTAACTCACATATCATAACTTTCAGACTCCACAATAGTATGTTCCATATCTAGCCGCCCAAGAAATGCAGGTTTAGATGTAAATTTATTCAAATGCTGAGCAAGATGTATATGCCTCTGAAAAGGAGAGATATAGTATCAATTTTTTGCAAGATTCCAGATAAATACGTAGTAATAACTAATACAGAGAATATAGAACTTACTGTCATTTCAGGCAATGAGTTGAGTTTTTTAACAAAATCTTTCAATTCTGAAACAGTTTGATTCTGCATAAAATACAAAACTAATTAATATGCAATGCTTTACAAGAGAATATCACCAAAGCTGCATCCTTGAACATCATGTTTAAAAATGAAAATAAGCATTCTCTCTTAAATCCATTTTAAGTGGACAAGTTAACATAATTTCTTGAACAAAAATGACTACAGAAGTCTTGGCAACATTTAGCCATTTAGGTAGGTCTAATCAAGTATTGAAGCGAACGAATTTGATACACATTTAAAAATAAAATGGCATTACAGTTGTCTGCATCTCATTGTAATCTTGTTTCATTGATGTTGCTCTTTGACGTAAAACCTGCATGTGCACTGTAAATGGCAATTAAAGGACCATAAAGTAAGGAGGGAAGTAATGATGCCAAGTTAGAACAAGGAAAAATAACACATGACGAAGATGACAAGGAAGAGGATGTCCAAATGGCCTGAATATTGAAAACATAGCTGAAAATGACAGATCAACCTGGACGACAACTTCAAAGTTCTGATCACGTATCTCTTTGAATAGCTTGTCACTGCAAGAGCATACGAGGTCAACAAGTCAAAGAGCTTAACATTATAATGCCTATATAGCTTGCATCATATAAAGAGGTCAACGACTGATTTTTTACGGTGCAGATCACACTCATGAGTGAAACTTGCAAGACAGCATTTATTATTGACAATTCTCACAGCATAAATACAATAAAGAAGTCCTAAGAGCTAAAAATGCTTGCTAGCTCTCAGAAAAGTTAGTGAATCCAGTTAACCCAGTTTCATCCCCGGAAAGTGTAAAGCGATATCAATTGAATATAAAAGTTCTTTAACCATGAAGATATGAAAGAAGGACTACCTAGAATTTAAAGGAACCTTTACTTTCTTTCCTTCCTGCTGAACACCCATTATAGAAGAATCTACCTCCACGGCACCATTATTGATACCAAGAAACTGTAAGACACCCATAAGAGACAGCTTATAATGCCCCTAAAATTGTACTAAACTATTCCACTATCAGAATAGTAGTCCATAGTAATTTCAAATAGAGTGTTTTTACCTCATCCATTAGCCCTTCATATGTTAGCTGGGAGCACATAGGAGTAACCATGTCCACCTGCAATAGGGTTTAAGTTTTAGAACTACTACAACAGATTTGTCATTCCATCTTTGTGCTATAGGACACTCATCAAACATTGTTCCACATTATTCCTTCATATTACATGTATATACAACTTTTTACAAAAGAAATGGAAGCCTTCCATAAAGACGCTAAAATTTTTATGGTTTTTAGGTTGTATGTGAAATTGCAATAAATGAAAACATTACTTTTTGTTAAGGAAGAGGATACCTCTCTATCAATAAGGATGAGAGTGTTGATATCTGGCGCAACAGCCTGCATGTGAATAATTAATATATTAAAAAAACAGTTTTTGGTGTATGAGTCACTGAGGTATGAATTCTTAAAAAGGCTTCAAGCTCTAAATACATCAGTTATATTCACTGGTTCTTCATCTTGCATCCTATTTAAAATGTCAGCAACACGAACAGATGCTTTCCCTTTTGCCCTGACATTTGGTATCACACCGAAGGAACACTGCATTTTTTCAATTAAGATAAATGAGTAAAAAAAGAGAATAAAAAGTGATCTTGCCAAACCTACTTTATTTTTGTATTCATCCTTGTTTATATGCCAAAGGCTGATGAATTTCTTAAAGAAAAACCTCAAGCTTGTGAATGGCTTTTGCTATATGCCAAAGAGAGGTAGTGTCTCCATCAACTGCGAATTCCTGTCAAGTAAAATGCAATCACATTTATATGCATGCCTTAAAATGCATAAAATACTGTGAAACCAAAAGAAAAAGGTAAAGAGCAGACATACTCTGTACGCTGTATCGAGCTCAAAAGACAAAACATCATCATCCAGTGGGAGTAGATACAAGGGATACTCGCCTATGGTTAACAAGTGATGTACTTTCTCTTCCTCAAGCACCTATGTTGCACAAAAAGTTAGAAACAAACTATGAAGAACAATATCTCATCTTGGGAAGCATAAAATAATTCCAAAGCGGCATGAGACAGAGGGGCAAACCTTCTCACATACAACTGCACGGCGAGGAACAAAATACAAAAAATACTCTCTTTGAATGCCCTTAGAAATATCATTATGAATGTGAGAGCAAATGTTCTTCATTAAGTCAAGCTGAGCTCGAATGAGATAAACAACTTTAGTACAATCTGTCTGGACTGGTTCACTTGTAAGATGGCGCAATTCAGCTCCCAGTTCCTGTTTAAAGTTGCCAAAAATCAAGATTGAAATCAAGATTTAATGAACCCATTTTTTATGGTAAATGCAACAACGGAAAAAAGGATCTTCAGAACTGTAGAAGAAGCTTTTACTTTTCTCCCATCCACATACTACAAATTACTGAAATACCAAATATATTCCAGTTAATAATACATATAGCTCCAGACTACTTAGAAACAAGAATGGCAGGCTGAGATAAAGAATCTTGCCTTCAGTATCGAGCTCTGCACAATAAGTGAGAGTGAACCACTGAGCTTCGGATCAATAACTAAACACTTCTGCCCTCGAATCTGTCATTTTTCATCAAAGATTACATTTTAAAATGGGCATTCCAAAAGTGACAAAAAAATCATTAGCATCACCATAAACTGAGAGGGAACTCAAAAATTAAGCAATACATCAGTGCAAAGCAGCACAAATGAGTCAATATGATAAAAATCATTATTACTTACGTTCTTCAAAATCGTTATGAGCTCCTTCTGCGATTGATCTCTGTATACCACCAAAAAGAGCAACCATTTATCACCAAGGGCAACACAAATATACAGAAAAGAAGTAGAACTAAAAACAAGTCAGAGAAGCAAACCAATATATGCACCTTATGGAAGTGAGATTAATGGGAGCATTGTCAAGATTTGGAATTTGCGCCATTTTCCCGTTTCCTTGGATACTGTCAGCTGTCGTTCTGATCCCTGTGTGTAAGAGCGAAGATTAAAAAAACACTTCAGCAGTAGGGGATCCGATTAGGGTGCTTGCTCTAGGAAATTAGGGTCCTTATTTGGTCGGCATACTTAAATTTGGTATTCCTTTTGCCTCAGAGGTCAATCACTGCTTTTAAAAAAGTTCTTTTTTTAATGAAATGGAGAAAAGTGATTAAATAAAAGTTGATAGTGTTTGAGAAAAAAGTGATTTTGAAACGTAAAAGTGGGTAGTGTTTGGTAAAATAAGTGGTTTTTGTGTAATAAAAAAAGTAAAAGCACTTTTTACGCGGAAGCCGAGAAAAATAAAAGTTGTAGTGTTTGGGAAAATAAGTGCTTTTTAAAAGCCAAAAGCCGAGAAGTGTTTTTTTTTAAAAGCAGTTGCAAACTAACCTTAGGACGCCACCGGACTTCACTTACCACCATGGGACGAAATTTTTGTCGTACAATTGGTTAATCTTATATTGTAAAGTCGACAATTTTGATGTTTTCTATACGGTTTTTTCTTGATCTTCCTTATGCCGCAGGCGCGGAGCAAGGTAGTCAGCGGAGTGCATATTGTATGCTCTCTTAACTCATTACGAGTAAAAAAGTCATAGTCAGGGGCGGATCTAGCCCTAGGCCAGGGTGGGCTTAGGCCCAACCTCAAAAAAATTAAAATTACTAGTATATATATATATTATGTTATATATAATTCCTTTAGAATGATATAAAATTAAAAAAAAGGCAGTTAGCGTATAGTTGATAGGTTGGCAAGATGGAAGAAGTTTAATGCACATGCCTTAATGCCTTATATGTTGGGAGTTCGAAACTCATCAAGAGTTTTTTTATTGATTTTTTTAATAGAGAGCATAGCTTACAAATTTCAATTTTCTTTCTTAAAATCTCTTTGTCCTTCAAACATACGGAGTATCTATTTAAAACTAATCTTCTAAGATCAATTACTACAAGGCTAACACCAATTGATCTCAATTCTCAAATGTTAGATGAGCTAGATGCTAATATTGTGAATGTTATTGGTCTTTTTGAATATTAGTCTGAAAAATTAATTTGTTCAATTCATTGGATTTGATACGTGAAAATTAGTTCAATATGTATGAGTTTGAGGTGTTTTTTGCGTTCGACAGAGATTCTTATTCCTGTTATATTTATTTTGTCTTTGACATTTATGTTGAAATAGATTTTATTTTAAATATTTGAAAATAAATCTTGTCAAATAACATACTATTTTACTACATTTTGACTTTTCTTGTAATATACGTTATTTAATTAGATTTTGGCCCCACCTGAATGGCTATGCTGGATCCGCCCCTGGTCATGGTATTTTGAAAAATCAACGTCATCTAAAGATTCTAAACGTAAATTAGCAAAATTTGATGCGCAATATTGATTATTTTCCCAAATTTCAAAAATAACTTTTAATTAACTCATTACTTACGTGACATGATTCAAAAACAGAGCAAAGACAATCTATCTTATTGCTACGAGTGCTTATTTATCTAAATTCCAAATGAAATATTGAACTCGAACATTGTCTAAAAACGATATATATCATTTTCATTTTGTACATAATTGTTTTTCGACCCTCCTGAACCATTTTTATGGCTCCGCCACTGCTTATGCATGCGAGTGAATGATGAAAAATGGTCAGATTCAACCATGAGGTATTTGTATTGGAAAATAACAAATATACTTTCAAATTTATACGTAGTAATTTATAAGTGGGGGTAAATGGTGTATTGACAAGCAACCTTATGATCGTGTTTGGTGGGATGTAAAATAGTTACTTTGCATGCGATGTGTTGAGACATAGAAGGTTTACAACGTTTGGTTTAATTATTTAATGTAAACTGTATGACACTTTTTTTAAAACATTTTGCACTGTAACATGTAATATATTTTGTGTGGGAGTGGTAAAATACTTTGCATGCTTTTTATAAAGTTAGACAATATTTTTGCGTGCAAATTAAAAATAAATTGCACATTTGGGCAACAATGTAATCTTTTTTACATACAAAGTTATTACTTCCATAAACTTTACACGCAATCATTTTGTGTGCAAAGATTTGACGCACGCGAAAACTACCAAACGAGCCCTATGTTTGTTGGATTGACGTTTCTAACAAAAAGATTGCATGTTTGAAACTCATTCCAATAAAAAAACATTGATATTTAACTAAACAGATAATATAGCATACCCCGAGAAAGTACAATAAGAAAAGTGGATAAATGGTTTTGACAAATGAACAATCTGAATACTGCACCATCAAATTATTTTCATATACTTCTATCTATATGATACTAATAATAGTATATAAAATGCTACAAGTGAACAATACGTAGTACATGTAGAAAGATGGAAAGTTTACCAATTTATATTCTTTAATTTTATACTTAGGTGGTGTTCGGTTAATTTTAAGCAAAACGTGTAGGAAACGGCATAATGTATCATTCTTTTATGTTTATATTCATCAAACCTTCCTACCAAACACCTTTCACAATTGCATGCTATCATCATTTCGGAAGCCTCCTTTTCTTACTCTTCTTTTATTGAAATATTATATAATAATATGATTGCTTTAGCTTAAATAGAGTAGGGACGTTCGTCTGTTCCGTCAATTTTCTATTTGGTTAGTTTGGTTCAGTTTTGATAAAGGTAAAAAACTCAATTGTACCGAATGGTTTTAGCCAGTTTTGATTTAGTTATTTTTGTTCAATTGAGTCGGTTTTGATCACTTTTGGCATATTATAATCATTTTTTATTTTTAAATCATGAGCCTTGAACCGAACAATCCATAGTTTGGTCAGCTTTCATCGGTTTAGATTTTCATCGATTCAATTTCAATCATTCTATTGATCCATTTCAATTTATCATTTTTTGTTCAGCCCTATATTTGTTGTGGTATTGTGTAGACTTTCTTGCTTTTCGAGTGTGGGACTGGGTATATGGGATTATGGTTGGTTGGGCAAATGGTAGATATTGAATCCGACACACTTGAGGTGCATGATTTCGGAGATTTGGGGAGGGAATAACCGCACTTACTTTGGCCTTTTGGCAAATGACATTAGAGTTATCGGAGATAGCTTTCTTAATATTAATATTAGTTTTTCACATATTCGACGATCTGCGAACCGAGTTTCTCGTGACTCAGCAAGGAAGGTTGGTTCTATGTCTGATTGTCATACTTGGTTTTTACGCCTCCTAGTTGCATTAAATGTGAATTGGACTTTCATTTGATTAATAGCAATTAATTTCATCTCTTGCAAAAAAATAATATGCCACTTTTCTCACTTTGCCAAGTACACCTTCATTCTTAAGTAGTCCGAAAAAATATTAACAAGATTCTAAATTGAACACCGATCTATCTTAAGTATACATTCTCACTTCATTACTAATCTATCATTCGAGATTTCTCCTTTTTGTAAAATTCTACTTTTCCCTATTTTTAGATGTTGCAAGATAAAATAACAGTATCCTTTATTTTATAAAACTTCTACTAGAAAATGTATTTTAGATTTTGGGACGGAGGCATATGTCTCTCACGCACACACAAAACAAGTTTGGAAGAAACAAATTTGAAACTAAAGATAAACCCAACACTCTCTAGGCCACCCAAACATTTCAATGAAGTGTGAAATTAAGAGAGTTGTTGATATTTTTATCACTAAAGGGAATTAATTGTTCCCGAGTCAAACCAATACAAAATTTAAAGAGAACTGTTTGTGCAACATAACATATAACATTTGACAGCGGATATGATTTTGAACCAAATAAGTTTTATTTGAATTTCATTTTGGGGTTTTGCCATTATTATTGAATCCAATTAGGAGGGAGCGAGTGAGCCACACATAATGCAAATTTTTATTGTTTATGCTAAAATAAACTAATCTAAAATATTATGAAGTGAATGGGAATCGTACAAATATAAATTGACAACGATTCAAAATAAGAATAACAACTAAAGAATATTAATTGAATAAGTTTGCACAGTTTGAATGAACTAGTTGATCGTGAATGGCCGTACATTACAAAGTGATCACATAAAGTAGTGTTTATTCTCCGAGCATTCTCATTAGCATTCCTAAATGTCCGGCGAAATAGGCGCCTTATCCTTAGGACTCGGACCCTAGTGCATCCACATCTTCTTTCTATTTGAAATCCTCTTATCCGTCCAACTCTCCCTTGACCGCACTAACCCTTTGCATTATTGGGCTAACTTCTCCTTTGAGTCCTTTCTGGTAGGTAATCCATTGGCCCAAACAACGAATATACTTTGGGCCCAACAATTGCCCCCATTCATGATGATGGCAAGTTGGCGCGCTAACCGAGAGCCGTCAGCATGAATTCAAATACTTGAACCCCTTGTAATACTCACTCGTCTTCTCCCTGATCGAGGAACTGGCTTTTCTCTTCTTTCTACTCGAAACCGTCTATCTGCTTCTCATCTAGTCGTCTTTCTTGTGTATTTTAATTCAACAATGCTTCATGTACCCACTGTTATACCCACCTTATACCCACCATGTTTGTGGAGTTTTTTTGTCTGTGAACTCAGTTCATAGACAATATTTTGTTTGTGCAAAATATTGTCTGTGAACCGGGGTTCACAGAAAAAAATACTTCACAAACATTGGTGGGTACAAAAGTAGGTATAAGAGTGGGTACAAAGATCATTTTTTATTTTAATTTGTTGATGATGATTTGCACGGGGACCCCTAGCCCCCTAGGATAAAAGGTACGGAGTATTACATATCACAAGAGGAACTATAGTCAGAGAATAAATTTTCTTAGACATAAATGTAGTCTGCATCACTAGGTACTTCTGCATTCAGTACGCAAAATTATGACAATTGTAGTTATAATTCAAAAAGTTATAGAGGCCGTTTGGAGCCTAGAAAATGGGTTGATAAGCTTTAAAATGTAAAAAAAGAGAGCCAAACACATGTCATTTTAGCTATTTGGGCTGATTTTTCTTATCAGCCAAAAAAGTAACAAAAAGGGTTACTTTTTCAGCTGAAATGTATTAATCAATTGTTCATAACCAAAAATTCTCCTTTGCCCTCGCCGTAGTACATCGTCTTCAAAAAATCGAAGACTACTTCTAGATTGACAACTTCTCTG